CAAGTTCTTTGCACTGTCATTCTCTGAATTTTGAATTGTCTAGATGTTGCCATTGTTCTAGGCACTGCACACATGATATATTCTTGATGGAGGAGAGTGACTAATTTTTCTGTAGATCTCTTGTGCTTGGTTAAAAAATACTGCCAAAACTTTCCAGCAGACTTTTGTTTGCTTGTCTTTGGCTAGACAGCATTCTCCACTCCTTTATGGCTGGAGCTAGGCATAGAATAGGACACTATGTCTAGGTTAGAGCCATCACAGTTCCCTCCTGGATGGGGCTGGGGCCACCCCCTCAAAAAAGAATGTAGCCACACAGGCAATTCCAGAAAATCTAGGGTCTGCTAGAATGGAAACATGGTAGGGAAGGACAGCTGCCTGACACTCACCTCATAAGGGTGCTCACAGTGTATACATTAGCCTTCTTCTTTAGCTAGGCCTTAGGGATATAGCCACTGGAGCTCCAGGGACAAGCTAGTCCTGCTAAGTGTAACCTCCAAGGTGTGGGCATTCTGGTGTCTTTGGTGCTGGCCAATGGCTGGAAGCCAGTCTCCTGGCTTCTTACATGGGTTCAAAGTGCTCTGCCTAGAGTTAGGTACACTGAAGAGAAACACTGCGAAGGGTGAGGTAGGTGGTGAGAGCCTGGGCTGTACCAGGATGTCATCAATTGTAGAAATGAAGGTCTTCAAATGCTTTTGGGTTGGCTGGGTTGAGCATCCTCTTGCCACCTGTACAGTGGATTCAAAACAGGACACTGGCTGTGGAGGCAAAGTCATAACGGAAACTGCATGTTTGGTGTGAAAAGAGCATTGTAGAACACAGTGGTGAGAAGCGGTTGATTAGATACATACATGGCAACAAGGAAAGAAGGTAGTGATGCCACATTTGGTGGGTAAACAGAATCAAGTTCATGACACAATAGCATTGACAGAAATGAAAAAAAATACAGGGAAAGATTTCTCATATTGCAAACATCACTGATAGAAAAATAATAATGTATTTCATTAAAATTATGAGCATGTGTACTATGTCCAGAAACACTAAGAGGGTAAAGGCAAACAACAGATGGGAAAGTGTTTCTGTCCTGCAACAGATGAGTCATGTGAGAATTTATGAAGAATTACAAGCAACACAGAAAACCAAATAGCCCCTGGGTGAATGGGCACATAGGTTGCTCAAGTTTTTCCCATGAACTCATCTACAGTCATTCATCTGCTGCAGGACTACAGAGCATGAGCCATCTCCCACAAGACTGGCTGGATGGGTGAGCAATATGCCGCTGTGACGTGGATGTGTAGCCACTGGAATTCATATGTGGCCCAAGGAAGAGTCTTGGGGCAGGGGAACATCTACAACTCTATGTCCCATAGCTCTACCCTTGGGAATAACTAAGTTGAGAGGACCGACACAAGTTCTGTGTAAAAAGTGTTCATTGCTTTACTCATAAAAGTCAAAAGTCTGGGGGCTGGAGAGATGGCTCAGAGGTTAAGAGCACTGGCTGCTCTTCCAGAGGTCCTGAGTTCAATTCCCAGCAACCACATGGTGGCTCACAACCATCTATAATGAGATCTGGTACCCTCTTCTGGCCTGCAGGGACACATGCAGACAGAACATTGCATACATAATAAATAAATAAATCTAAAAAAAAGTCAAAAGTCTGGAAAAACCTAAGGTTTATCAAGATCCAACATTCATACAGCTGAATACTACACAGCAAAGCAAATAAACATGGTGATGAGGGAAGACGTCAGATAATAAAGAATAACATTTCTTAATCACATCTATATGAACTTCAATAAAAGCATTGGTGACAGCAGGTGTTAGGACAGTAGTAGCTCATGCTGGGAAGGCCCAGGACCTTCCATGACATGCTTGGGGAAACTTGCACTTCAAGTCTGGGCTGAGCTCTCCAGCTGAAAATACAATTAGCATAGTCAATGGGCCACCAGTGAGTCCCTGAAGGTCACCTGTCAATGCAGGAAGGGCCCCTGCTTTGTGAAACTCCAGAAGCATGGCTGCTTTGAGTTGAATCTTGTTCCCTCTTGGATGCACATGTTGAAGTCCTGGCTTCCAGTACCCTAGACTATGTCCTTATTTGGACACAGGACCATGGTCATCGGCCAAGGCAAGGTCTTGTTGGAGTAAAGTGGATCCCAATCCAACACAGCTGATGTCCTTACAGAAAGGAGAGGGGGAGATTGGGACACAGCAAGGAGAACAATGTGTGTCCATGGAGGCAGGGACAATGTGATGCTTTTCCAAGCAAAGTTACCAGCTGTCAGCTGTCAGCTGGCACGGAGCAGTTTTCTCCCTGGCCTTGGAGAGAATCAGCCCTGATGACCCTTTGGCCTGGATTTCTGGGCTCTGGAGCTGTGGGACAGTAAGTTTCTATTGATAAAGGGTCCCAAACAATGGCATGTAGGAAGTCCCAGAAAGAGAGGCCAAGTTCTAACAGATCCTGAATCCTGAATTGCCTTCCTTGGCCCTAGCCATCCTTTGTACA